CCTTCGCTTTAGGGCGCTCAGGGCTAAAACTCTTCAAACTTGTCAAAAAGCTGAAACCAAGAGGCTGGGCACACTTATGCCTACTGCTCCTTGTAGGCTGTTCCGCCGGTGTAGATGATGATCTGTCATGTTTCAAGTCGTTACCGTCATTTCTTTTCAGGTGTTTAGGGTTTAGGAGTCTAGGGGTTAAGAAAGGAGGGGTTGCGTGGACAGTGCCATGTACTCACACAACGCTTCTTTTGCACGAGATGCTTTCATCTGGCGCTGAAGTTTTCAATGGGGTTCTCCTGCCCATTGGAAAAGAATTGCAGGACACGGCTTTGCGGTCTTTTTGCGTTAAACTATATAACAAGCATGCCTCTGTTGTGATGCACAAAACTGGTAGAAACTGGGAACTTGAATCATTCAAGGGGCTCCCATGCTTTCCACACCTTGCCAGTGCCTGCATCAGCAAGCCCCCATCGAACTAAGCGACCGGCTTCTGCAAGTTGTTGCGAAGTGTCCATGGCATGCCAAGATGCCAGAAGTCCCGATTTCGGATCAAAGATGAGCGATCGGAGCTCCGCGTTGAACTGGTCGATGTTCATGCTGTCTTGGATCTTCTTGAGTATCAGTTCTTTGTCCGTCTCGGATGATGCCCGCATATTGCGAATATCCAAATTCTCTAAGGTATGCGCGCGTTGCATAATGGTTGCTTTGGAGGTAACTTTGAGTGCCTGATTCATGTGCAGACGTTTGGCTTCTGCAATTTCCGCAACACACCAAGCACGATGAAACAAGTCATGGAAATAGAAATAGAATGTATGCGACGTCAACCTGTGCTTATATAGATGCGGTTGGACGCCAAGTGGTCGCCACCATGCATCCGGCGTCAGCAGAAGAAAGAGCCAGAAATCTCCACGATCTCGCCCGAAAGAAATCACAACGACCTCTCCCGAAAGCCCATCCCAAAAGTGCCAAAGATGCGCTCACAGAGATGCGGTAGGACGCCACGTGGACGGCACCATTCATCCAGCGTCAGCAGAAGAAAAAGCCAAAAATCTCCACGATCTCGCCCGAAAGAAATCACAACGATCCCTCCCGAAAGCCCATCCCAAAGTGCGAAAATGCACTCACAACTCCACAATAAACATCAGGGAAAGCCCACTGATACGACAAGCTCACGCTCGCAAGCCCTCCCTGATGGCGCCATACTTCTCTCGCAAGCGCACGGCGAACGGCTCGCTCTCCACCATCGCACGTTCAAGAACAGCTCGTTCCCACCTTCTCGCACGCCGCACCGCAGCAACGTCCACTTGCCATCCATCAGCGACAAAACCCAACTGTTTGGAGCATGCCTCATCCGCCAAGCGATTGAAGCGCCGGGCCATCGTTGCGCAGACTCCCGGAGGAGGAATCCAACTGGGTCGCTTGCCGTGGCTGGGAATCCAGTGCACAATCAAATCACCCAGGCCCACGGTGACACGCTGCCAGAACGCAGCCAAAGGTCCAGCAAAATCACCACGAGCAGCCCGCGCGATGCGCCTCACTGCGGCGTCATTATCCGTGAGCACGACACCTTCTACGGCGTTGCCTGCGGTGTGCGCAGCCAAGACAGCCAACGCATGACGTTCAGCAGCGGCCGGGGTCTGCTCGGGACCCGGGACCAATCCATGCACCACTATCTCCTGATTGCCCGCTTTCGCAGCAATAGCCCATGCCGCACGCTGCCAGTGCTCCATTCCAGCAGCAATCAAGCACCCACCATCCGTAGCACAGAAGAGCGAATCGCCGTTCTCACACGCCAGCTGAATGAATTGCGCAAGTTCATCATCAAGCTCAACCTCCATGCCACCGTCCCTTGCAGCAAAGGGCACCACAGCCACAAGAAGTTTGCGCTCAGCCCTGGTGTACCCATCTCCCAAGCCCTGCGGAGCCAGCGGACAATCGAAAACCATATGCTCAGTGGGCGGCGCCTCCATCCCGCACTTGCACTGCGTCTGGACATCAACGCGCTGAAGGAGCCGTCCATCCACCACAGAAGCCGTAACCGCACGAAAAGCCGCCCTCGAGGAGAGGTTGACGATTCTCACATGCTCATCCAGTATGAGGGCACGCCTCCCAAGCGGCCCAGCTCCACCTGTGCGCCCATCGCCGTTCCACAGATCCTGGTGCCAGGCCTGCACAGCCGCACGCAGAAATGCATCCACTGTGTGCCACGCCGGCGAAAACGTGCCAAGCAAGGTGTGCACGTCCATGCCTCCTTCATCCGCCCAGCCCCATCTCGCACAAACCTTGGCCCAAGCTGAGCTAGCCGCGTCTGACGTCGGATGCCCCATGAGCACTGCCGACCGTCGCCTCCACTCTGCACGAATGACCACCGCTGCAAAAGCAAAAGAAAGATCCAGCCACGGCCCACCCATAGCAGCCCATGCCATCATGCAGGAGCGACCTTTAGGGACCTGCCCAGCCCATAAAGCCCTCTCGACACGTGCCTGCCAGCGTTTCTGGGTGTGAACACGATAGCGATTCCAGCAAGCAGCCCATGCAATCGCTGAGATAACCAGTGACCGCAATAAGATGGCACGCCTACACACATGTTTGCAAGCTTTGGCAATACGCTCACAACGCACCAAGACCATGTCGTCAAGAGCCCGCAGATCCGGCGCTACACCACCTCTCCTCATGACATAGTGCACGCCAAGCAGCTTGAAAGCAAAGACCACAGGCCCTAGGATGTCAGTGCGCTCCTGCAATCGCCTCCGAGCCACCTTGGACGTAGCAAACGAGGCCTGTTTGTCGGGATGCACAGTCAGGTTGAACACAGCATCGACTCTCCTGCCAGCAGTCACAGCATCGGTCAAAAGCAGCTCTGCATCAGTATCCAAGCTCCAGCAAGTGCGATCATCCACGAAGATTTTCACGGTTAGTGAGGGCGCCGCCCGTTTGACCACAGCATGCCAAACTGCCATCAAGCAGTTGACCAAAGTAACAGACAGAGGGCATCCCTGCTGCAAGCCACAAGCCACTCGTATAGGCCTCGGGTGGACCACGCCATCAAGCATAAGGAAGCGATCCTGTTGCACATAGAAGTCGCGAACCACTGCGGCGAGCGCGCCAGGGAATCCCATATGCAGGGCCACATCCACAGCCTGCTGTGGACGAACACTGTCAAAGAACTTCTTGACATCGGTTTTGATGCCCAACAAATGGCATCTACCCCCATGGGTCCGCTCCAAATCCCGAAGCAGCGCATCATGAACCCCATGTAGGCTTCTCCCAACAACTCCTCCATGAATATCCGAAGGAAAAGCAGCAGTAGCCCAGTCACGAAGGCGTCTACAAGCCAATGAGGCCAGCGCTCTCCACAATACTGCACCAATAGCCAAGGGTCGTTGAGTGCCGTCAGGCTTTGGCACCAAAGCGATTCTGATGCGCTTCCACGCGCCCTACTTGAAGCATGGCCTGCCAGAGTTCCACCACCTGCACCCAAAAGCCACGCGGCAAACAAGTCAGCTGCGCTGCCGCCCACCCATCCAGCCCTGTGGCACGCTTGCGCCTTCGTTTGACCACTGCCGCCAACTCATCCGGCGTAAACTGCAGCGCATCATCCGCACAAGCAGGTCCCGCAGGAACGCTCTCCAACAGGGCCGCCGTAGCCTCATGGTCATAGTCGGCGTCACTCCCCCACCAACGCTCCCAAACTTCACGCGCCTGCTCCAGCTTCTCAGAGGTCTCCAACGGCGCAGTCCACTCACCATCGCGGTGCAAAGGCGGCGGCGCCGCCCTTGTGACCCATCGCGAGACTTGATGGATGTCCACCGCCATTCTCTCACGCCACTGAGCCACCAGTCTTTGCTTGGTCTCCAGCGCCTCAGCATCAGCTGCTTTCTGCACCTCCTCCAGCAATTCCGGGAGAGACGTGGCGCCAAAGCCATGTCCTTCAGCCTGCCTCCAGACCTTGCGCAAAAGGTTGCCATAGTGAACCGAGTCGTGATCCCGAAGCATGGCCTCGGCGACTCGCCTCATGAGCCTCCGCAAACGGCGCTCAAGCAAAGTCTGAACGGTCGGGGCCTTGGTAGAAGGGGGAAGGCCACGGACAGGCACAGGCGCTTCAGCACGACGACGAGCCTTGCCACCCGCATGCATCACATCCTCCGCCGCGGCACTGAGGACAGACCATGCTTCATCCACCTCACCGCGACCAAGAGCGTCATGAAAAGTCTGCCCACGCGAGCTCCACACATCATTCCATTCCTTAGCGGACACTTGGACCGGCACCACTTGCCTGGGCGGCCGGATGCGAAAAGGCTCAGGCCGCCAGTCAGTGGCCAACTGCACGTCATAGAAGACAAGATCGTGGTCCGCCGGCCCCACCACCTGGTGCTTATAGTCAATCACCAACTTGTCCGTGTGAAGAGCGAAGTCAATGCACCTGGTATAGTGTCCACCCGGGCCCCGAAACGTGGGCGGCGGGGGAGAATCACCATGAATGGCCTCATTTGCAGATCGCATCGCGCCGCACGCCAAAGCATCTGAGATGGGAAAGTCTCCCTCAGTTAAATTGAAATCACCCATGAGCAACGCATCTTCCCCCAAAGCAGCCACATGTTCAAAGCAAGCCTGAAGAATATCACCAGCTTCGGCGCGCGAAGAAGCAGGCAGATACAAGTTGCACAACAGGAGCGGTCTCGCCCGTGGCCTCCAAACTCGCATCACCCCACCACGCCCATCCGGCAACCACTGTGGCTTCGGAAGCGGCTCCACCGGCCACCTAGCCAGCGTGATGCATCCCCACTGCGCAGCGCCACTGGGCGCCAGGCCTTGCTCATGAATCACAAGATGCCACCCAAATTTGGTCGCCAAGTTTCTTAAGGCTCCAAACGAATCTCGCGGTAGACGAGCCTCCTGAACAAGGAGGATCCCAATCTCCCACTCAGCAGCCAAGCGCAAAACCTCGGCTGCGCGCCCCATCAATGTTCGCACGTTCACTGTGCCCACCCTCAAAGCCCGAGCAGTCTTCATGCTGCTCGCTCCTCGCCGCCACCAACCAGTCCTCGGGGAAGCTCAGGCGGACTCGGCTCATCCAAGATGCCAAGCTTGGACTTGGCCTGCCGCGCAGCACGCCCGCGAGGCCCATCATCCTTCAGCCAGGGCTCCAGCTCCCGAAGCCATCGCTGGCGATACTTCGCGAAAGCCTTCTCGCCCTTGCAAGTGCCCTTGGGAAAGCCCCGCTCGTTGCCTGCCAACCGGCAGCAGGCAACACACACAAAGCGCACTGCAAAAGACTTGTCCTCCATCGGCCATGGGATGGCCTCGAGCTCATGATCTCGGGCGATGTGCTGCTTCGAGGCCTCACCCTCGCCCGCTCCAGCAGTGAGGAAGTTGACAAGCTCAGCCGCACCACTTCGAAGTCGCTCATCCAGCGTCGCATCTTCTTTCTGCTTGGCCAGTCGCTGAATCAAGGCCTGGCGCTGCTGCGACATGCCCACCACCGCCTCACAGGGCATCTTGGCCAGGAGCTTGGCAGTATGCGCGAGGCACTTACAATGGCGGCAAACAAAATACGCGGCGCTACGTCGCCCAGGCTGTGTTGCTGGCACATCAATCGTGAAGAGTCCACTGTGTCCACCAATGCCACGCTTGATCTGAGAAAGCCGCGACGAGACCCCTTTCGCCCGCACGGCCTGAGTGGCCTTGGGCGCATTGCAGGGCCGAGCGGTTCTCCTCTTGAAGATGGCGATGTTCTCCTCAGGATGCGCCCGCGCTCCATGCGCGAGCTTCCACTGCCGCAGCTTGTCCCCCGTCAAGTTCCACTCTGCGGGGAAAGCCTTGAGGCACACAGGGCACCTCCAAGTGACAACAGCATCATCACGCACCTCGATCGGCTCATCTATGACACCACGAAGATTGAGCTCCTTCATGCGCTCAGGATGCCACGCTCGAATGTGCTTGTTCTTGCGGAAAGACCAAAAGGAGCCTCCGCACGTGAAGCCACAGTCAGGGACTGGACATGTCCACTCCCAGATTTTGCTCTTCTTTCTGCGCGTCGGCTCGGCAGGCTCCGTCTCAATGCCCTCCACATCAGCCAAAACCGCCACATCATCCTCAGCGTCATTGCTGCACCTGGAGCTGTCTCGCGAAAGCTCACACCTCCTCGCCCCCCGTGCAAAAGCTGCAACCAGCGAACAGCTTGCTGCGCCACCAGTGGCAGCGCTCGGTGCGCCCTTTCGGCTGCTGCCGCCCCCAGCCGTGCTCGCCGATGGCCGCACAGGCGCAGGCGGAGGAACAACAGCGCCGCTTACTCTTCCTACCGGCACATGAACTCCTTCAGCATTGCGAGTATACACGGTCCACGCCGCATCAGAGCCCTCAGCAGTGTCATTCGGGTGGTCACGGACTCCTCCACCTCGACCGCCCTTAGTGTCACCGATCTCCTGGATGTTCGTGATCACAGCTGGCAAGGGCCCACCATCGAGGGCAGGCACCAGCAAGTCATAGTGGCCGATCTTCCCCGTGCCACGCTCAAAGGAGAGAGCAACAGGAAAATTGCCAGTTCCAACCTTAGTCGGCGTCAACGAAGCCTCTGCAGGAATGATGTACACCGCCAAGCTGAAGAGATCGGCAGCTGCCATAATCTCCAGATGGCCCCAGTACTTTCCTTCCATTGCAGCCTCCTTCAGGTAGGACTCAAAGTCAGGCACGCCTCCTTCAACATCATTCGTATCTCTCTTGTCCCAGAAGGGAGCAAAATGCGCTTGCTTCCTCCTCATGTAGGCGACAACCTCAGCTCTCATGCGGCTCGTGGGCATCGGTCGGCTGGCATTCTTGTGCCACGCCACAGCTTGGGCCACACAGCCTGGCAAGCAATTGCCATCACGCTGGATCTGAATGAGCTTGGTGCCATCAGGCACCTCTCTCAAACCAATCGCTTGACGTTTGACATCACCTTCAGGTCTGCCCTCGCCAGTCTCCTGCTCACCAGCCAGCGGCTTCTGCACCACTTTGAACTGGTTGGTCTCAACCACAACAGGCGTTTGCCGCGGCAGCGGCTGTCTCGCAGACGGCCCCCTCGGACTCGGAGTAGCCGGAAGCAAGTAGTACAACGTCTGCTTTGGCGGAGAACCTTGCTCAACGGGAATGGCCAGTACATCCAGCGAGGCCGCCCCACGCACGAACCAGGTGGCGGTGCCTTTTCTGGTAAGACGACCAGTGACGGTAACCTGCTCAAGCCCAGCTTCCTGAACCACCTTCATCACGTCATCCTGCGTCCACTCGTGCGGCAGGTTGGGAAGTCTCCACGATCTGATGACAAGTTCCGTTGAGCGGTCAACTCGGATGCCAATTTGCTTGCGACCAGCCACCAAGCCCCAGGCCGGCTTCATGAGCAAGCATCGCTGGAAGTAGTCAACCTCGTTCTCCCCTTCATTGGCATCAATCCATCGCACGCCCAAGTTGACCCCCGCAACACTGCGCTGCAAAGGCTCCCAGAAAAGACCGCCAACGCCACTCTTCTGCAAGAGTGCCTGAACTTGGTCGTCAGGCACACGCACCAATGCCACTAAAGTGGCTCCGCGCTTCTGCTCCACAGCTCCACCCCAGAGGTCTTTGACCGCAGCAGCCCTGGTCATGGCAAAGCTCCTAAGGTTCTTGGTGGCAGCAGCCCAGTCAGCCGCTGACGCAAGCTGTTGAATCAGCGCAAGGCGCAGCACCGTGGTGGGGACCGCCTTGATACTGACGACCTTCTTCTCACCCTTGAGGGTAGCCAACGCAACACCATTGACCTGAAACTTCAAGATCTCAACGCGATGCAAAGCCGCGCGCCCCTTCTGCCAAAATGGCATCGACAGAGAGCCTTCATCATGGCGATAGACCACAAGCAGCGAGCTCTTGAAGCTGCGCCCACTGGCCAAAATCTGGAGGACCTCAGCCTCCTCACGGTTTTTTGCCAAGACAAGTAGCGATTCACCCGCCTTGTTGTAATCCTCGAGCTGCTCCGAGGTAACTAGCGTAGCATGCCAGTCCTCCTGCCGAAGCTCCCACTCATCATGCTTGAGCTCAGGGCGCTCAAAAGCCCTGCGCTCACCCACCCCTTCACCCTTGCCCTGACCCTTCTTGCCCTCTGAGCGAGGACCATTGGCTGCATCGCAAGGACGCGCTTTGCCAACTTTCTCAGGCTTCTCCTTCCCGCCCTTCTTGCCATTTCGAGGCGCAACATCAGCTAAGGGGGCTGACTGCGCAGTATCATCTCCTTTGCCTTTCCCCCGCTTCTTTTTCCTCACCTGAGTCCACTCACCCTCCGGCTCTTCAACGCGCACTTGCCGCGCATTCTCCGCCCCCCCCTGAGTGGAAGCACTGAGGCCCTGCACAGTAGCATCAGCCTGCGCAACGATGCTTTGGATCTCACTCGCATTCGAAAGCTTAGCCACCATCTGAATGAGCAACTGCACCAGGCTAATCAACATAGCCAACTGGCCATCACCAAGATCAGGCCCTGGATGGGACGCCTCTCCAACTCGTTGCCCTGCATACCCAAGCAAACGACAAAGCTTGCAAACAAAGACCGGGATTACGCCACCCTCACAAAAGCCCCACGCCACGAAGTGGAACGATGCATGGGAGTCCTCTGCATGGTAGCCACCGATGTGCCCGACAACAGCGGCCTCGAAGGTCAAAGTGATGTCCTCAAAGAAAAATCCACACTTGATCCCCATCCAGCTGTCAGTCTCGTCGGGCTCCGAGTTCAGGGTCACCGCGGGAAGGTAGCTGGCATCCAAACCCCGAAACAAGTCATGGGATTGGTCCACTGCAATTACTTGCCTGCAGCCTCCTGTTTCTACAAGATGATGCATCATGTCATCGAACTTGTTGACCTCTGAAGCGGTGCTTCTGCCATCCGGATCAACCAAATTCACGCTGCTGCAACTGCACACGGGATGCAACTCGTTTGTCAACGGATCGCGGTCGTAAGGGTTGCTGTGGCATATGCAGATGTGCTGGTTCACTGCAAACGCGCAAACCCAATACGTGTCATCCAAGCGACCGCTCTGAGCTAGCATCTCACAAACGAATGTGCAGTCTTCGTCCAACAGTTTGGCTGCCAAAGTGAAGCTATTCTCCTGCAAAGCATCCGAGATGATAGCCGCGAGCAAGTCTTTGAAACCTCGCAGGTGTCATTTTTCAGGGGTGTACTTAAAGGATCATGGGACTTAGTAACTAGGGATAAGGTAACTGTACTTATAATTACTTATAACCCCACTTGGTTCGGTGGTTGAGACCAAACGTTTGAAACTTCAAGGGATTTCTGCCATTACTATGCTAAACTCTATTAGTTTAGTATATGCAAGCAATAAGAACTACTCAGGTCCCTAACCCATCCGGAGCAAAGCCCTCAAGGCCCCACTGATGCTAGCGTTATCTCAATGTGAAAGAAAGCAAACCACACCCTGGACACAAAATGGCACTGAACGCTAAACCCTAAACCCTAAACCCCTAAAGCCCTAACCGAACTCTAAACCCTAAACCCCTAAACCTCTAAAGCCCTAACTGAACTGTAGCTTTGGCAGCAATTTCCCCAATTGTGGGTCACCATAACCTGAGCTCTTCGAGGTCCATCCCTGTTCAAAGCCGAAACTGCATATGCAGATTCCTCTCTGCTGGTGAGAGGGATGATGGCTCTGCGGACCACATCTTTAGTCTTATGGTCACTGGGGGCAAAGTTCCAGCCGGGCATGGGAAGAAGCATCCCTTGATAAAAGCACAGGAGGCTGCGCAAAGTCATGCCCCGCAAGGAGAGCTCTTCAACTTTTGCTTTCCACATCGGGCTCCAATCCCTTTCCTGTTCCACTGGGGCTTTGGTCTGGCAGCGGCATGGCCAACAGCCCAACTGTTGGCCAGGCACCTGGTCAACCTTGGGAAGCCTGTGGCCGCCTGACAGGAGAACCGCAGCCAGAGCATTCCCCAGGACGTCCGCGGCTTGAATGCCTACTGCAGCCCAAATGGGCATGCCAAGGAAGAAAATAGCGTCTTTAGCGCTAGTGTCTCTGTCAGTGAAACTTCTAAGACCGCATGGAATCCCCAAGATTGTCAGCACAAGGCTGCAAGAGACGCCCATGGTTTGCAGGCCTGCCAAGCGTCGGGCTCGTCTCAGAGACAACTGCACTGCGACCGACGCATCACTGAGCTTTGCCATTCTCAAGACCCTTCGCAAAACTAGCAAAGATTTGGTCAAGATGCAAGCTGCCATCATGCTGGCCAGCACATTAACGACAGCAGTAAGCACCCCCGCCACCAGCGCCAAAGTAAGTGCCCAGGAAACAGTCAACAATGGTACTTCCAGAACAAGGAAGCACAAGCAAAGTGACAGTAAAATCACTGCCAGACTGACAGTGCATGCTTGCACCCGGACAAGGCAGCAAATGCAGCGACCACCGAATGCCTGCTTGGAAGAAAGCTCCAACAGCTCCAGTCGCGAAGCGATGAGCTTCTGCATGCAGACTGAGCAGAGCAGGTAAAGGCTGGCTCTGCAGCTGACAAGAAGCAAATAAGAATCAGGATAACATGATAGTGAACTGAGATATGTGTTCGGCAGAACGCCATACACAAGATCAGTCGGCGGTCTGGCCATGGTGGCCAGCAAGGAATGGCACCAGTTGAGAATGGCATAGTCACTGGCTGATTTGACATGAGGTGAAGCCCCGGCCCTTTTCCTCAGCCATGCTGCCATGCAACCAGATCCCAAACTAGCCAGCATCAGGACACTGAAGCAATTTCTAGGGCTTTCCACATAAGGATCATCATAAGGATGAGGAAACAGCAAGACTGTAGCCGTGGCATTCACTGCAAGGACAAAAGCATACCAGCCAGGCCGCCAGCGGTGCCAAAGCTGCCGGTGTAGTTCCCGAGCTTCCATGGGAGCTTTCTGAGATTGAACTTGCCATGCAGCCAAAGAATCTTCGGGCATGGTCTTCACACCACCAACATGCAGTTCACGTTTCCACAACAAGCATCGGAAACAAATAACTCATGCAACAATATGGGATTTCAGGGGTACGGTCATGTCAATGTAAAGCTTTCCTGACTCTTGTCGACATGCCACGGTTTATGCGATCGGTATGAGCTTTCCAACATGCAGAGCACACTGTCTCAACGACGAAGTTGCCAAATGCCAACATCATCGTTGCCCAGCTTGTAGCTCTCGAACGGCTAAGGCTACGGATTGTTTCGGTGGTTTTGGTTCTGGAGTTCTGGATAGTGTCTTGGACAAGGTTAAGGTTTAGGTGGTTGCTTTGGTTTGGGTTTTGTGGTGTCAGGTGGGTTTAAGGATGCCGTGTTAGAATGTCGGTACGAGCGTAGGAAGGAGCCCTTACAGGAACCCGAGGTTTCTGAGGACGGTGCCAGCCGCTGTTTCGCTTTCTGCGAGGCAAACATTGCCTGCCTCACCCCGAGGCGATGGCGATTTTTCTGCAAAACCTGCGGCAAACAAACGGGGTTGTAGGATTTAGGGTTCAGGTTCAGGGTTTAGGGCTTCCCCCAAGCGGCCAAAGGATCTAGCAGTTCGGGACTTGTGCTTAGGATCGTAGTATTGTAGGTTGATATGTGGAGAGCATACGATTATTACCTTCGCGAAACCCTGAAGCCCTAGCCTAAAACCCTACACACACATTAGGGCTAGTCCCGAAGAGGAGAATACGTATTTTGAGGTACAGGGCCGGGTTCCAGGCAAGGTCCATCTCCCGCCATAGCTGTGACAGCCACATGGTCCATTGTGGTCACAGTCTCGTACTCCATCGCTGTGAGGTGCATTGCCAACATAATAACTGTTTACATCCCTGGCATTTCCTTTCTTGTGCCTCTTGGTATACCTCAGGTAAACCGTCAAACCTCTGAGCTCTACACAGCTCAATTGAAAGCCCTTGAAACCCTCAAGACAACCATATACCCCACCTCCATAGAACCTAGGACTTTCTGCAGGGATTATGTGAACTCAGGGGCTGGAGGGTCAGGTCTTTCAGTTGATCTCCAAGCCCTAAACCCTTACATAGGTCCTGTAAGGTAACCTTGCGCAACCCTAAACCCTATTCCCTAAATAGAACTCTCAAGGGAACCCTTGAAGGATCTCTTTAAGGGATCCCTTAACGGATGCGTTTAGGGGTCCTTAAGGTGCCCTATGCATCCCGGAGTCACCCGCGAGGTTCTGGGAGATCGGAATCCGGTAGCCTCAGCATTTTGAGGTTCAGAAACCGCCAACGGAACCAGAAATGCTCCTAAACTTAATATATTCTAACCCCTAAACCCTAGATCCCTTACCTAGCATCTTCCAAACCCCAAACTCTAAAAGAGCATGTCGTGATTTAAGGTACATTGCTGAGTCCAGGAGTCAGGAGCTCTGTTGGAAGCTTAGGGGTTCCCTCAAGGGTCCAAGTACCTAGTAATCATACAATCTCCCAAATCCCTAGGGTCCATGTACCCATATAGCATATACTTTGGGCTCAATGTACCTATATAGGGAGCACTTTTAAGGCCAATGTATATACTATATGAGTACATGGACCCTTAGGGAATATTAAGCTGCATAACTACTATCCTAAACCCAAGTACCTGATTATTGGGTCCTATGGACCCTTGGTTCAAGGCACTGGCTCTTCTTTACTCTACTTATATAACGATCATGGGACTTAGTAACTAGGTTGATAAAGAAGGTATTTAATCTATTGAAAAAGCTATTTAATTAGAAATTTGGGTATAGGGGCTTACTAAGTCCCAAGACCCTTTGTAATTAAGTATCCTAAACTCCCCCTCGTCGCAAACTGAGACTCCCGACCCTACGGCGATGGCCTCTTCCAAAACCTCCTGGAAGATTGGAGACTCGCTTGCTTGTTTGGGCTACAGTAGGGCTTATGGTGACAAAGTGTTAAGAACTGTTAGGGTCAGGGCTGAGGCTCGGGATTTAGGGTTTGGAGATTAGGGTGTGGGGGTGGAGGGGCTGCAGATTCTGTCAGTTACGGTCAGGATCAACCGTGGGGGCTTCCTTAAAGTCATTGAATTCGGATAGGCTTTCACAATATCCTGGCGCCTATGGCCCTGAGACAACATGAAGATCGTATTATCAGGACCTTGCAAGCCCTTGCAAATTCCCAAAGCACGAGCCTTCAACGACTCCGAAGCCTAAACCGCTTGAACCCGTAAACTGTAATTAAAGCCATAAAGCCCTAAAATAACCTTGAATCCTAAACCCCTGACTAAACCCTACACCCTAAATGTCACTAAACCTTAAAACCTAATTACACTCTAAACCCCACACCCTAAACCCCAAACCGACCCTAAACCCTAAACCCCAAAGCCTAAGCCCTACAAAACTCTAAGCCCTACACTCTAAACCCCAAGCCATAAACACTAAGCCATAAACCCCAAAACCCCAAGGCGCCTCCACATCTTCTTCTTCTTCGAGAGGGCGGCCGCCAGACGAGTTCGACAGGCCTCGGCTCAAGATTCACTTAAGGGGTTCCCGGAAGGGCTTCGGTTTTGGGCTCTTTGTTTTAGGGTTTAGGGTTTAGGGTTTATAGGGTTTAGGGGTTAGGGTTTAGGGTTTGGGTTTAGGGGTTTAGGGGTTTAGGGGTTTAGGGGTTTAGGGGTTTAGGGTTTAGGGTTTCGGGCTTAAGGTTTAGGGTTGGGTTTTTGTGTTGCGGGTTCCTTTACGGGTTCCCTGAAGGGTTTAGGGTTTAGGGTTCCTCGGCTCAACGTTCACATAAGGGAAAAAGCGGATCTTAAGCAAGCGGCCCGCTCTGTCTTACTATAGTGCGCAATAGAACTGGCGGAGAATTCAGAATGGCGTTGCGCTATGACTGCTGCAATACCTACATGAAAACCGTTGAACCTCAACCGCACGTTGGCCCTGATGAGGCAGTACAAGCTATTAACTTGCCTGTCTTGCTCTGACTGCAGTTCATCTGATCATCTGTTCGTGAACAAACACAACCCTCCCAGAGGCCCGCCTTCAGCAAGGCTTATTGCAAGTGCATGGAAGCTCGCGCCCGCCGAAGGCTCTAAGACTCTCTCTAAGGACAGCTCGACAATGACCGACAGAAAAAACCCCCAAGGCATGCATAGGAACGGGGCCAACGACGACCGAACCATGTGAGGCGATGGAACCGTATCGACGCAAGCCGCGCTTGTGCCACGCAACCACAAGCCCAGAGAGCTCACTCCAAGCACGAGCATCTGAACCCTAAACCCTAAACCCTAAACCTTAAACCCTAAACCCTAAACCCTAAACCCTAAACCCTAAACCCTAAACCCTAAACCCATTGCAAAATGCGGCCAGCAGCGACTGCATCAGAACAGGGGATGCCACGCCCCACAAGCTGCTTGTCAGCGACGCGTGCAGGGGTTAAGAGGCCCGGACTTAGGCGGCTCTTTGACAACGAAGCAGCACATTGCGCCTGGACTTTCGACAAAGGGCGGGAAAAACGAGCTCCAGATCCAAGCCGCGTCACCGTTTCGGGTTTTTTTGGGTTTTGAGATGCATTTTAGGGCCTAAGATAGTATTTCAGGTTCTTTGATGCCAAAGGAAATAAACCCCTAAACCCTAAACCCCAAACCCTAAAGCCTATAAACCCCTAAACATGTGTAAAGAATAGCAACACAAACAATGGGGCCCTGAATCGAGAGAGAACTCCCTCGCCACCATCCTTGCGGATTGCCACATATTTAGTCCTTGCGGATTGCCACATATTTAGGGTTTGGGGTTTAGGGTTCAGGGTTCAGGGTTCAGGGTTCAGGGTTTAGGGTTTAGGGTTACTAAACATCAGGTATTCTATCTATACCCTAAAACAGGCACCCCCAATTTCTGGAACCTCCAGGTACGGGGTGCCCCTCGCAGAACCTCAAAGCAAGACTCATCGCACCAGGGCGGTCTGAAGCATTACAGCTCCAAAGCCCACAGGAGTACCTAAGCCTAAATCCTAAACTCTAAACCCTAAACACCCTAAACCCTCCGCTGCAGGGACCTTTAAAAAAATGAGCCCAAAACCCGCAGCCTGGCAGCGGAGAAGCTAATCACAAAAGAGGTAAACATGGATGCGTACATTTTTGTACGCACAGATGCATCTTGCACCTGTGCATGCTTGAATACAAATATCCGCCGACCCCTCTGGGCGCCGGTGCATGTATCTTTGCTGTGCATCACCCTTAGATTGAATACGTACGTACTTCCAGGGTCCCGGGGAAGTGGGTCCCCTTCTCGTCCCCCCCCTGAAGCCGAAATTCGAAGCCGAAATTTGAAGCCGAAATTCGGCGCGTGCTTCCTGAAGTCGAAAATCGACTGAAGTCGAAATTCGAAGCCGAAATTCCGGTTTGTCAGCGGCTGAAGCCTATAATGTTCTTGAAGCCTAAATTCGGCGCTGAAGTCGAAATTCGGCCCTCCGAGGACTGAAGCCTAAAATGTCCCTGAAGCCTAAATTCGGCGCCCAAATTCGAACCACGCAAGAACCCTGCAAAATGCACGTATCCCTCCCCTCACCCGGCTGTCTGAAGCCTAAAATGGCCCTGAAGCCTAAATTCGGCGCTGAAGCCGAAATTCGGTTCTCCGAGGGCTGAAGCCTAAAATGGCCCTGAAGCCTAAATTCGGCGCTGACGCCGAAATTCGGTCCTTCGAGGACTGAAGCCTAAAGTGGCTATGAAGCCGAAATTCGGCGCTGAAGGTGTCGTGATCGCACGAACGACAACCCTCTACGTGTTTTGGCGTTGTCGAAACGCGAAAACGATGACCCTCTGCGTTTTCCCGGCGTGTCGCGATCGCACGAACGACAACCCTCTGCGTGTTTTGGCGCTGTCGAAATGCAAAAACGATGACCCTCTGCGTGTTCTTGGCGTGTCGTGATCGCGCGAACGACAACCCTCTGCGTGTGTTGGCGTTGTCGAAAAGGGATTTCCTGAAACTTCTTCGTTGTCGTCCGTGCTCGT